TAAATAAATCATTATAAAATTAAAAAAATTTTAAATAAAATTCTAACTAATTTGAATATATAAGACAATCAATTTGTTCTGTTATGATAAAAAAGATATTTAAATAACTTATAAAAATTGAAAGTAAATCTTTGCTTTTACATAGAGACAATATAAAATTATAAATATTTTTATATAAAAAATTCATAATTATAAAAATAAACTACAAACAAGACTATCAAAAAATTGAATTTTATAATAAAGAATTTAAAATTCTTTCATCGATATCATTTATTTTTTAATTATTTTGGCATCTCTTAAGAAACTTTTCCAATTAATGCTGCTACAATTTTTCAGATTACATAATAGCATATTACATCTCATAATAACTTAATTTTTATTCTTTTTATATGTTAATATTAATAAATATAATATATCTATAATAATTTGATAGATAATTAATTAATTAGTTACTTAGTTAGGCATTTGAGTGAATATTTTTAAAATCTAATTCTTAAGCACTTGTAGAAAATCCTATCAAATTTAGTGCTGCTAACTAATCTTTTCTTAAAAGTAACATAACAGCTTTCTTTAAAAAGATCATATCTTTGATAAAATTTAAGATACTAAGATCTTATCTGATCTAATTATCTATCATTTATTACTGTTTTTAACTTAGAGCCTCTATCCCCTCAGACTTTTATCGTTTTTTGCACAATCTTTTATTATTTATCCATTAATTAATTAAAATTTAAAAAAAAAAATAAATATAAATAAATAATGATACACTATTCTAAATATTTATTTTTTCATTCTTGCATAAACTTTTCTATCTTAAAGAACTCTCAAATTTGTTAAACAATCACCTATTTCCTTTTTTTCTTTATTGCTTTGATCTTCTTAACATTAATATTATTTATTTTCTTCACATTTCTTAGCTTATTCTAGGTTATTACCTATAAAGTTTTATTCCTTTTTTTAAACAACATTTGTCTTAGATTTTTAGCTTTAGATAGAAAAAATAGTTTCAGAAATCATGCTTGAAGTTTATTTATTGTATAGAGTTGATTTTTAAATGATAGAGTCGTTGATTATCTGTGGAGAATCCTTTTCAATTGATAATTTTCCTTTTTAATTTATTTAAACAAGCTCTTTTCTAAGCTTAATGGTGCTATTGTTAAATGACTTTTATTCCAATTCTAAATTTTCTAAATTATTATTTTGATATAGATAACTTTTATTATACGAAGGTGTGTAATAAAAAAAAGGAATTGATTTAGATTAACTTATTTCATCTTGATTTTTTATTTCTTCTTCATCCTCATTAATACTATCTGTCTATAATTATTTGATTTCTGCTACCCTTTGATCTTTTTAATCTGATTATTATTGTTTGATTTGTAATATTTCTTGTTTATGCTATTAAAATTATTCTTAGCATTTATCATCCAATTAACTTTGTTGTTAAGTCTTCTGAACGCCTTACATTAATAAGTAATTCGCTTAAAATAAATGTTTGAAGAAAAGCATAAAAAAATCTTGTTTTATTGAATACCTAGAAATAGCTCTACCAATAACACCCAAAAGCATAAGCAATGTAAGAATACTATTAACTTAAGCAAAAACTTGGGGAAGAGTGGGAAATTCAATTTAAATTTACTAAACTAGTTCATCTGGAAACAGATTTACTGAGCTAAAGCTCTAAAAACCTATATTTTCTAGAGCATATTTCCTATCGTAGCTATAATCTTGCTTGTCATACTATATTGGAGAAGAAAAAGTCATTTCAGATTGTATAATCAATCCACTTTTAACTGATGTAACTTACTTTTATGTCTTGATCCTCGATAAAATTGATTGATTACCGATTGTATAGACATATGAGTTTCTATAGTTTGCTTAAATTTCCTATGAAGTTGTATTAAACTGACTAGTGTAGAGTTTTAGTCGTAAAACACTATTTGATCCATTAACTACATTATCAATTTCTGTTTGATTTGCACAATTATCTGGAATAAATGTCTTATAGTTATCCAAATCCAGGCAACCGTAAGTCATGATAGTAATTTAAGTTTACAAATTATTTTAAGTGTCGAGAGAAAAGGTGTAGTTAGAAATCTTTGAAAAATCCAAGCATTTAAAGCCTATAAGACTAGGATTTTAGCAATCAATAACATCAAGATTATAAGTTACCTAATTTGATTGATTGGCCTAATAAAATTAGGCAACATAGACTAAATATGTTTTATTATTTTAAGCTTAAAGTAATTCTATACTTAGATTAGTATCATACTCGAATCTAAACCCAATTAAATCATTATTTAGCGCCATATCAATATTTTTATCGCTAATAAAGCTTTAAGATCTATATGTTGGATCTAATTTATTAGTGGCATATTAATACACTATATAAACTAAATAAGCAAACGAGTTAAACAAGACAATAAATGAAAGAATAGTTCCTAAAATAGTTCCTTTTTTAGTTTATTAGTTACCAATATTAAAAAAAAACTAAGATGAAAAAAAATCAAGTTTTAAACAGATCATTAGTTGCTTTTATTTAATTAATACTTACTATCAAAATTTTACTTCTACTAATTCTTTTTTGTGGTTTAATTTACTAAATAAAGAAATTAATTAATCTTTTAATATAAAATTTAAAACAATAAACTCTGTCTATGTTGGGCACCGTTTGTTAGGAATAAATTGCCCAACATACACAGATGCCCAACATTCAAAGGGTCCTAAAAATATATATAATTATTTAATTATAATGAAAAATTAAATTTAATATAATTAAAATATAATATAAGCAAAAAATATTATAAATATATATTCAAGACATTTTATTTGAAATTAAGTAATTTTCAATAAACATTTACTTTCTTTAAATTATTTATTATAATTGAAAATGTTTAAATTCTTTTTCCATTTATTTAATTGAATTTAATTAACCTTATTCATTTTATAAGGCAAATATTTTTAATGATATATCATTTATTAACAGTGTCCTAATTTGATTTTTTTTTTCCTCCAGATGCAATTTTTATAATTTGTAATCAAATTATATTTTTTTTTTGAAGAAAAATTTTTAAAAAAGGCTAAAACTAATTAAAAAGTTAATAGAAAAATGATAAAGATTGATATAAATTAAAATTATTAATATTATTAATGAAATTCTATTATAAAATTATTTATTTTTATATAAATAATGTTCAAATGCATCAGCCATTCAAAAAAATAGTGATCTCAATTTACTAAATTTTTGAATGGTATTTAGCTTTTCTTTGTTTTTAATAAAGTTATGACTTTATTTATTTTGTTCAATTACTGAAATAAGAAATTTTGTAGAATTCTATTAAAAAAAAGCAGCAATAAAAATTTATCTTCAGATAAATTCTAATTTTACTTTAATAAGCCAAAATTATAAATTTTTTGTTTAAATAAAATTTATATTATATAGATTGTTTTATTATAAGTTATTTGAAGATATTATACAAAAAAAATATAACTCTAAAATTTGTATGAAATTCGATAATACTAGGTTAGAATCTTGCAACAAAATAAATCAAAGTATAAAGTCTGATTATTTGTTAATCAAAAGAATATCTTTAAGTTTTTATTCAATTTTTATTTGATTAAATAAATCATTATAAAAATAAAAAATTGTAAGAAATAAATCCTCATTTTTTCCAATACACAATATAAAATAATAAATATTTTAATATTTAGAAATTCACTATAAAAAAATAAACTACAAACAAGACTATCAAAAAATTGAATTTTATAATAAAGAATTTAAAATTCTTTCATCAATATCATTCATTTTTAAATTTTTTTGGCATCTCTTAAGAAACTTTTCCAATTAATGCTGCTACAATTTTTCAGATTATAGAATAGCATATTGCATCTCATAATAACTTAATTTCTATTCTTTTTATATGTTAATATTAATAAATAATATATATAATAATTTGATAGATAATTAATTAATTAGTTACTTAGTTAGGCATTTGAGTGAATATTTTTAAAATCTAATTCTTAAGCGCTTGTAGAAAATCCTACCAAATTTAGTGCTGCTAACTAATCTTTCCTTAAAAGTAGCATAACAGCTTTCTTTAAAAAGATCATATCTTTGATAAAATTTAAGATACTAAGATCCTAACTGATCTAATTATCTATCCTTTATTACTATTTTTAACTTAGAACTTCTATCTCCTCTGACTTGTATCGTTTTTTACACAATCTTTTATTATTTATTAATTAATTAAAATTAAAAATATTAAATATAAGTAATGAATGGTAGTTACACTATTCTAAATATTTATTTTTTCATCTTTGCATAAACTTTTCTATCTTAAAGAACACTTAACTTTTTTAAACACTCACCTACTTCCTCTTTTTCTTTATTACTTTGATTTTTAAAGCATTGAAATTATTTATTTTCTTCACATTTCTTAGCATCTTCTAGGTTATTACCTATAAGGTGGTTTTATTCCTTTTTTTAAACATCATTTATCTTAGATTTTTAACTTTAAATAGAAAAAATAGTTTCAGAATTCATTCTTGAAGTTTATTTATTAAACATGCTAGATTTTTAAATTATAGAGTGGCTGCTTAGCCGAGGAGAATCATTTTCAATTGATAATTTTCCTTTTTAATTTATTTAAATAAGCTCTTTTCTAAGCTTAATGGTGCTATTGTAATATGACTTTTATTCCTTTTCTTAATTTTCTAAATTATTATTTTGATTTTGATAACTTTTAATTAACGAAGGTGTATAACAAAATAAAGGAATTGATTTAGATTAACTTATTTCATCTTGATTTTTTATTTCTTCTTCTTCTTCATTAATATTATTTGCCTCTAATTAATTGATTTCTACTACCCTTTGATCTTTTTAATCTAATTATTATGTTTTGACTTGTAATGTTTCTTGTTTATGCTATTAAAATTATTCTTAGCATTTATCATCCAATTAAATTTGTTGTTAGGTCTACTCAGCATCTTGCATCAATAAGTAATTTGCTTAAAATAAATGTTTGAAGAAAAGCATAAAAAAATCTTATTTTATTGAATACCTAGAAATAGCTCTACCAATAACTCCCAAAAGCATAAGTAAAGTAAGAATACTATTAACTTGAGCAAAAATTTAGGGAAGAGTGGGAAATTCAATTTAAATTTACTAAACTAGCTCGTCTGGGTACAAATTTGCTTAGCTGAAGCAATAAAAGCCTATATTTTCAAGAGCATATGTCCTATCATAGTTGTAATCTTCCTTGTCATACTATATTGGAGAAGAAAAAGTCATTTCAGATTGTATAATCAATCCTTTTTTAACCTTTGTAACTTACTTTTATGTCTTGATCCTAGACGCAATTGATTGGTTAGCGATTGTATAAATATATGTGTTTCTATAATTTGCTTAAATTTCCTATGAGGTTGTATTAAACTGACTGGTGTAGAGTTTTAGTCGTAAAACACCATTTATTCCATTAATTACATTATCAATTTCTGTTTGATTTGCACAATTATCTGGAATAAATGTCTTAAAACTGTCCAAATCCAGGCAACCGTAAGTCATTATAATAATTGAAGTTTACAAATTATTTTAAGTGTCGAGTGAAAAGGTATAGTTAGAAATCTTTGAAAAATCCAAGCATTTAAAGCCTATAAGACTAGGATTTTAGCAATCAATAATATCAAGATTAAAAGCTACCGAATTTGATTGATTAGCCTATTAAAACTAGGCAATATAGACTAAATATGTTTTATTATTTTAAGCTTAAAGCAAGTCTATACTTAGATTAGTATCATACTCGAATCTAAACCCAACTAAGTCACTATTTAACTCCATATCAATTTTATTGTCGTTTATAAAGCTTTAAGATCTAAATGTTGGATCTAATTTATTAGTGGCATATTAATACACTAAATAAATTAAATAAGCAGAAGAGTTAAACAAGACAATAAATGAAAGAATAGTTCCTAAAATTGTTCCCTTCTTAGTTTGTTAGGTACCAATATTAAAAAAAAACTAAGATGAAAATAAATCAAATTTTAAACAAATCATTAGTTAGTTGCCTTTATTAATACTTACTATCAAAATAAATTTACTTCTACTACTAATTCTTTTTTGTGGTTTTAATTTACTAAATAAAAAAATTAATTAATTTTTTAGTATAGCTATCCTGAATAGTTTATTTATTTATTACTTAATTGTAATTTGAGTATTAAATAAGTATATATATTGCTAATAAAGGTTTTGAAATTCCGCTGACTGGATACATACATAATGTCAGCGGAATTTCAATAACTTTTTATTTAAAATTTGAATGCTAAGTAGTCTTCTTGCTTTTTTTATTTTAATTTGTCAGAATTTATCTGATAGATCTACCTGTGATTTTATAAAAAAGAAAGGCCTTTTAATTTTTTATTAAAAACTAATTTTTTTGCTTTAATATATAATTTTATTTAATATATTACATATAAATTAGAATTTATACTAATAATATAGGTATATTATAAAATATTATTAAATATATTTGTATAATATACTAATATATACATTATTTTAGATAATAACTATATCACAACCAATATTTTAATAAAGAAGAAATTCATTATTAAAAAAATAAACTACAAACAAGACTATCAAAAAATTGAATTTTATAATAAAGAATTTAAAATTCTCTCATCAATATCATTTATTTTTTAATTATTTTGGCATCTCTTAAGAAACTTTTCCAATTAATGCTGCTACAATTTTTCAGATTATAGAATAGCATATTGCATCTCATAATAACTTAATTTCTATTCTTTTTATATGTTAATATTAATAAATAATATATATAATAATTTGATAGATAATTAATTAATTAGTTACTTAGTTAGGCATTTGAGTGAATATTTTTAAAATCTAATTCTTAAGCGCTTGTAGAAAATCCTACCAAATCTAGTGCTGCTAACTAATCTTTTCTTAAAAGTAACATAACAGCTTTCTTTAAAAAGATCATATCTTTGATAAAATTTAATATACTAAGATCCTAACTGATCTAATTATCTATCCTTTATTACTATTTTTAACTTAGAGCTTCTATCTCCTCCGATTTTTATCGTTTTTTGCACAATCTTTTATTATTTATTAATTAATTAAAATTTAAAAAAAATAAATATAAATAAATAATGATACACTATTTTAAATATTTATTTTTTCATTTTTGCATAAACATTTCTATCTTAAAGGACTCTCAACTTTTTTAAACACTCTCCTACTTCCTCTTTTTCTTTATTTATTTGATCTTATAAACATTAATATTATTTATTTTTTTCTTCAAATTTCTTAGCTTCTTCTAGGTTATTACCTATAAAGCGGTTTTATTCCTTTTTTTAAATAATGTTTATCTTAGATTTTTAACTTAAGATAGAAAAAATAGTTTCAGAAATCATGCTTGAAGTTTATTTGTTCTATAGACTTGATTTTTAAATTGTAGAGTCGTTGATTGTCTGTGGAGAATCCTTTTCAATTGATAAATTTCCTTTTTAATTTATTTAAATAAGCTCTTTTCTAAGCTGAACGGTACTATTGTTAAATGACTTTTATTCCTTTTCTTAATTTTCTAAATTATTATTTTGATTTTGATAACTTTTAATTAACGAAGGTGTATAACAAAATAAAGGAATTGATTTAGATTAACTTATTTCATCTTGATATTTTATTTCTTCTTCTTCTTCCTCATTAATACTATCTGTCTATAATTAATTGATTTCTACTACCCTTTGATCTTTTTAATCTGATTATTATTGTCCGACTTGTAATATTTCTTGTTTATGCTATTAAAATTATTCTTAGCATTAATCATTTAATTAACTTTGTCGTTAAGTCTTCTGAACGCCTTGCATTAATAAGTAATTCGCTTAAAATAAATGTTTGAAGAAAAGCATAAAAAAATCTTGTTTTATTGAATACCTAGAAATAGCTCTACCAATAACTCCCAAAAGCATAAGTAATGTAAGAATACTATTAACTTGAGCAAAAACTTGGGGAAGAGTGGGAAATTCAATTTAAATTTACTAAACTAGCTCGTCTGGGTACAAATTTGCTTAGCTAAAGCTATAAAAACCTATATTTTCAAGAGCATATGTCCTATCGTAGCTATAATCTTGTTTATCATACTGTATTGGTGAAGAAAAAGTCATTTCAGATTGTATAATTAATCCCCTTTTAACTGTTGTAACTTACTTTTCTGTCTTGATCCTAGATGCAATTGATTGATTAGCGATAGTATAAACATATGCGTTTCTATAGTTTACTTAAATTTCCTATGAAGTTGTATTAAACTGACTGGTGTAGAGTTTTAGTCGTAAAACACCATTTAATCCATTAATCACATTATCAATTTCTGCTTGGCTTGCACAATTATCTGGAATAAATGTCTTAAAACTGTCCAAATCCAGGCAACCATAAGTCATTATCATAATTTAAGATTTCAAATTATTTTAAGTGTCAAGAGAAAAGGTATAGTTAGAAAGCTTTGAAAAATCCAGGCATTTAAAGCCTATAAGACTTGGATTTTAGCAATCAATAATATCAAGATTAAAACTTACCAAATTTGATTGATTGGACTAATTAAACTAGGCAACATAGACTAAATATGTTTTATTATTTTAAGCTTAAAGTAAGTCTATACTTAGATTAGTATCATACTCGAATCTAAACCCAACTAAATCATTGTTTAACGCCATATCAATATTTTTATCGCTAATAAAGCTTTAAGATCTATATGTTGGATCTAAATTATTAGCGGCATATTAATACACCATATAAATTAAATAAGTAGATGTGGTAAGCAAGACAATAAATGAAAGAATAGTTCCTAAAATAGTTCCTTTTTTAGTTTGTTAGTTATCAATATTAAAAAAAAACTAAGATGAAAATAAATCAAATTTTAAAAAAATCATTAGTTAGTTGCCTTTATTAATACTCACTATCAAATTTACTTCTACTACTAATTCTTTTTTATCGTTTTAATTTACTAAATAAAGAAATTAATTAATTTTTTAGTATAGCTATTCTCTATAGTTTATTTATCTATTACTTAATGATAATTAGAATGTTAAATAAAAATATATATGAGTATTTAATTATAATATGTAGTTTATATAGCTCTTCCTGCATTTGAAATATCATGAACCATGAATGATATTGTGATTAGTGATATATCAAATAATTTTTATATTAATAATAAACTAATTTTTCAAAATCTTAACAAATTATTTTCTTTACATTTTATTTCAAAATGTTTACAAAAATTAATCAAAATAAAATATAGCAAGATTCAATTCAAAAATTCCGTCGTTTGGAATTAATTTATAATGAAATAGATTTTTTAAAAAAATTGCAATCTTTCTTTGAAAAATATATCCTCATTCAAGCATTTTATTAAGTAACACCCTACATGTAGATTAACAAAAACAAAATTGTAAGAATAATAAATAATATTTTTAATTTCAAAGAATTTAGTTTTATTATAAAGATTATAAGATCCTGTTGTCTACCTCATTAGCATTTTGATTGTTTTGGCATCTCTTTAAAAATTTTTCTAACTAACGCTCCTGCAATTTCTCAGATTATAAAATAGCCTATTGCATCTCATAATAGCTTAGTTTCTCTAGTTTTTATTTTAAATATCAATAAAAATAATTATTTGATATTTATATAAAATAATTACTTTTGTTTAAATTAAAATCTATATTTCTTAAATCTGATTCTAAAGAGCTTGGAGAAAATCCTATAAGATTAAGGGCTGCTAACTAATCTTTCCTTAAAAGCAAAAAAACAGCTTTCTTTATAAAGATCATATCTTTAATAAAATTTAAGATATTTAGATCCTAATTGATCTAATTATCTATTCTTATTTTTTATTTTCGAGTTAGAGAATAAATATCTTCTGATTTTTATCTTTTCTTGCATAGTCTTTTATTATTTTTTTTGTTTATTAAAAATAAAAAAATTATTTATTTATTTATTTTAATTTAATTTACATAAATTTAAATATTTCTTTCTTAATTTTAGCTGAAGTTTTCTTGTCTTAAATTGCTTTCAACTTTTTTACGCATTCATTTATTTCCTCTTTTCTTTTACTACTTTGACTTGATAAATTTTATTATTAATTTAGTTGAATATCATATTATTATTATTTTTATTATTACTAATTTTCCTAACAATTCTTAGTTTCTTGCTGGTTTTTAACAAAAGAGAATTGAGTCTATTCATCTTTTTAAGCAGTTTTTAATTTACTATTTTAACTCTGGTTAATAAAAATAGATTCAGAAATAATATTTTAAGTTTATTTATTGCACAAATTTGAATATTAAATTAAAGAATCATTTTTTATATATGGAGAATCCTCTTCAATTAATGTTTTTCCTATTTTATTTTATTAAACAAGTTCATTTCTAAATTTATTTGGGCTATTATTTAATGATTTTTATTCGATTTCTTGATTTTCTAAGCTAATATTTTGATATTGCTTATTAGTTAGTATTGAGGGTCTATAATAAAATAATGGAATTGATTTAGAACAACTTTTTTCATCTTGAACTTTTGTACCTTATTCCTCTTATCTACTCGATTCTGATCCTGCTAAATCTTAATTTACTTCTACATATTCTTCTTTTTACAATTGTTGCTATTATTCCAGGGTCAGTGTTGATTATTTTTGTCCTTAAAATTATTTTTCGAATTAGCTTTTTTGTTGTGTCTTTTTAATACCTTGCATCAACAAGTAATTTGTTTAGTATAAATTTTTTAAGAAAATCATGAAAAAATCTCTCTTTATTGAAGACTTAGAAATAGCTCTACCAATAACCCCAATAAGCATTAATAGAGTAAAAATGCTATTGACTTAAGCAAAAACTTGAGGAAGAGTTGTAAATTCAATTTATATTTACTAAACTAGCTCATCTGGGTATAACATAACATTGCTATAGGCAGAATATCCTACATTTTGTAAGGCATAATTTCTATCTGAGTTATAATCTTGTTGGTCATACTCTATTGGAGAAGAAAAGCTTGTTTGAGATTATATAATTAATCCTCTTTTAACAGAGGTAACTTGCTTTTATGTCTTGATTCTAGATAAAATTGACTGATTAGCCATTGTATAGACATATGCATTTCTATAATTTACTTGAGTCTGTTATGAAGTTATATTAAACTGAGAAATAAAATGCTTTAATCTCAAAACACCATTTATTCCATTGATTACATTATCAATTTCTGCTTGGCTAGCACAATTATCAGGAATAAACGTTTTAAATTAATCTAAATCTAAGCAACCATAAGTGAAAATGTTGATTTAAGTTTATAAATTATTTTAAGTGTCAAGAGAAAAGGTATAGTTAGAAATCTTTGAAAAATCCAAGCATTTGAAGCCTATAAGGCTAGGATTTGAGCAATCAATTACATCAAGATTAAAAGTTACCTAATTTTATTGATTAGCCTAAAAAAATTAGGCAACATAGACTAAATATGTTTTATTATTTTAAGCTTAAAGTAAATCTATACTTAGGTTAGAATCATACTCGAACCTAAACCCAACTAAATCATTATTTAACTCCATATTAATAGCTTCGTCAAATACAAAACTCTAGGATCTATATGTTGGATCTAATTTGTTAGTCACATATTAATGCACTATATAAATTAAATAAGCAGAAGAGCAACACAAGACAATAAATGATAGAATAGTTCCTAAAATAGTTCCTTTTTTAGTTTCTTAGCTTCCAATATTAAAAAAAAATTAAGAAGAAAACAAATCAAGTTTTAAACAAATCATCAGATGCTACTATTTTAATAATTATTTGCTTTAAAAATTTACTTCTACTTATTCAATATTTGGTTTTTATTCTTTATTATATTCAATTAATAATAAATATTACAAATTTAATAATCTTATCTTTATTACTCTCAATAATATATCTAGTTAAGCTTAGCTTAATAATTTATTTACTACTAGTGTATATTTCTATTTGATTATATATAATTGATCTATAAATCACAATAAATATAATATACTTTGTCAAATTCAGGATACATCACATAATTTAAAGTTAAGTCAATTTACTCATTATAAATTTATTTAGAATTTGCTATAATTAAAGATAGATATTTTCAGTATTTTTTTATATAAGTGTAAATAATTTGGTATTTTAAAATATAAACCAATTTAAATATAGGGTATTGTTAATTTTATAATAGCCGTCAAAAGTAGAAAATGGAGTGCCTTAATTAAAGAAGAGTTAGTAGAGTATATTATATATATAAACAAATAAGTCTTTAATAATACTATTTTTTTTTATGATGAAACAAATTTATTAAAATTATTATAGAGACTATTTTACTTTTTACATCTTTTGAAATAAAATAAATTATTTTTAAATTTAAATAAAATGAAAAAATGATTTGTTAAACAAGCTATTTAATAAAAAATATATATAAAGTAATAAAAACTAGCATAAAAAATAGAATAATTTTCAAATAATTTAGTTTGCTTTTAAAGATTATAATATTCTGAAATCTATATCAGACATTTTTTAGTTATCATGGCATCTCTTCAAAAATTTAACAGTCTGATTTTATTAAAGTTTTTCTGATTTTAAAATAGCTTATTGCTTCTCATAATAGCTTTTTATTATTTCTATTAATTTGAAAAATTAATTAATTAATAACATAAAAAAGATTAATTTAAAATATTTACTTTTTTAGTTTTTATTAACATCGTTGGTTTAATTAGCTTAAATAAATGGAGAAAACCCAATAAGCATTAGAGCAGCTAGTTAATCTTTTCTTAAAAGTAGCATTACTGCTTTCTTTAAAAAAATCACGTCATTAATAAAATTTAGTATATTAAGATCCTAGCTAATATGATTCTGTATTTCATTTTTATGATTTTAACTTAAATTTTCAAGGAATCCAGATTTTTGTCTTTTTTTGCAAAATCTAAGTATTTTATTAATTTTTAAACATATTTAATATAAATGATTTTTTAATATTAATTACCTAAATCCAAAGATGTGACTATAAACTTCATCATAAATATCACTATTCTAAATAACTTCTAAATTTTTAACACACTCTTTTATATCATGTCCATCTTTTTTGCATTAATTGACTTAAGTTTGGTTTTATTTTTATTAATTTTCGCGATTGCTTCGATTAGTGTTCATGCAAGCAGTTCCTCCTAAATTACAACTAAAAAAGAGGTTTTGCTAACTGTCTTTAATATTAGACTTTTCCTAATAGCTTTTATTTTTAAAAGAATCAACTTATTCAAAGTTAATATTTGATGTTTATTAATCTTCAATAATTTATTTTTAAATCTAAGAGTATTTGTTTTGTTTTAAAGCATCTTCTTAAGAAAATTTTTCTTTTGATGCTTGTTTAATCAGCTAATTATCTGCTAATACCTCTAAATTTTAACTTTACTCTTATTATGATTTATCGCTATTATCTTATTGTTATTGCCTATTACTTAAATTAAGTATAGGTCTATAATAAAATAGAGGAATAGAATTATTTTATTTCTATTCGTCTTCATTTTTTATATCTATCGATAACTGACTAAATTATTATTCTTATTAGTATTTATCTATTTTGAATGCTTCGTCAATTTATTAATTTTAACATTAAAGCTTTTATTAATTTGTATCAGTTTATTATTATTATTATTGTTGTATTTACATTAGTTATTTTTATTATTTATTATTTTTTTATTTTTATTGCTATTTAGGTACTATTTGACCTAGCATTGATAAATAATTAGATTAATATAATCTTTTCAAGAACAACATAAAAAAACGCTATCTTATGGTTCTATTTGAGATAGCTCTACCAATATGACCCAAAAGCATTAAAATGGTAAAAGTAATATTTACAGAAGCTATTACTTGCGGGAGTGTTGGAAACTAAATTCCTATGTATTAAACTAGCTCATCTGGATAAATCATAACATAGCTATAACAAGATAGCCCCATAGTTTCTAAAGCATAACTTCTGTCTAATGCTTGATCTCTTTAATCATATTATATTGGTGAAGAAAAGCTCATTTCAGATTATATCAAAAAGCCAGTCTTAACTGAGCTAATTTGCTTTTAGGTTTTCACCCTTGAAAAAATTAGCTAATTAGCGAATGTATTAACGAATGAATTCCTATAATTTACTTAAATCTTTTAAGAAGTTGTATTAAATTATGATGTATAGAGCTTTAAGCTTAAAAGACTATTTAACCCATTAATTACATTGTCTATTTCTGTCTAACTTGCACAATTATTAGGGATAGTTTATTTTAAGTTGTCTAAATCTAAGCACCCATAAGTTAATATTCTAATTTATGTCTACACGCGTTCTTCATTGTTTAGATCAAAAGTGTAGTTAGAAACTTTTGAAAAGTCTAAGCATTTATAGCCTTCTAAATCAGGACTTGTACAATCAATTATATCTAACAATAAGTTTACCTTATTTTTTTTATTAGACTAAAATAGCTAGGCTACGTATACTATATATGTTTTATTATTTTAAGCTTAAAGTTCATCGATAGTAAGATTAATATCATATTCATATCTAAACCCTACCATTTCATTAAATAACTCCATTTAGATATTTTGGTCAATTATAAAGCTTTATGATCTAAAAGTAGGATCTATCTTATTAGCAGCATATTAGTATAATTAGTATACTAGATATGTTGTAGAGGTAATTATGATTAAAAAAGATAGAAAGGTTCCAAAGTAAGTACCTTTTTTATTTTAACTCCCAATGTAAAAAAAAAATGGAGAGGAAAACAAATCAAATTGTGAACAAGCCATTTATTTATTTATTTTTGATCTTATTCTATTTAAATTTTCTATTTTTAATATTTTATTCAATTATATTTACTATATATATTTCACAAAATCACTTATATAAAATAGACTAGTTCATTATCTATGTTTTTTACTTTATTACTATCGCAATTTACTAAATTTCCTTTTACTGAACAAATTATGTTTAAGTATGTTTACTGACTTTTTGTAAAAGCAATTCCAAAAGAAGTTTGTTTTTTCACCATAAATAAAACCTTCTATTGAATTTTAATTAAAAAATCATTTTATATCCCCATTCATAAATTTATTAAGCTATTTTTATTAAAAATAGTATTTCTTTTATGAAATTCTATTTTTCAAATAAATTTTTTTCCCTTTATAAGTTCAAACAAAAGCACACACATTAAAAATATTATATCAATACAATAATTATTACTGAAATATTTTTTCTTATTTTTAGTTATTTCAATAATTTTTTTATTAAAAATAAGAAAAGAAATACTGCAACAATAAATAATAAAAATAAAGTAAAATAATTAAATATTAAATTATTTGAGAATAAAATAAATTTAGATTAATATTTTCAAAAGATTTAATTTGCTTTGAATGATATTAAGATTTGCAATTAATCTATATTAATTAATTAATTAAGACTTATTTTTGTATCTTTTTAAAGGCCTTTATTTAAAGTTCTATATATAGCCTTTCAGATTATAAAGTATAATGTTACTTTACATAACAATTTAATTATTTTTCAAATTTATTCTTTAAATCTTTCGTGTATTTGAATAAAATTGAAATAAATTACTTTTTTATGATTTTGAATATTGCAATTAAAGTATAATTATCACTAGAAAATCCATCTAAATTTTTAGTTCTACTGATTAATTTTTTATCAAAGGCATATGGTTTTAGATAGATTATTCAATCATTATTTCAGTATAAAAATTTAGATATCTAGTTTTTTACTGATTTGATTTATTTTCAATCTTCTATTATTACTTTTGATTTAAAACACATATTATTACTGGCTTTTATCTTCTTATGAATCATAGCCGCCTATAAAAAAAATGATAAAATTTTAAAAAATAATATATTTTTAAAGTATTTTACAATACTCAAATCTAAAAATATGTTTCTATATTTTTTTAAATGTATTTTTATCTTGTGTTACTTCCAACTTTTGTAAACATTCAATCTATTTTAATTAAAAGCTTGGATGTGATTTTCTAAGCTCTATTAATATTAACTTACATCGTTTTTTCTTAGCGCAATCAATATCTTTAGATACTAATTTATAGATAGGTTATAGTACCTTTCTATTAATATAGACAGACTCTACTAAGAGTTTTAATTTTTTAAGAAAACAACTATTTGACAGCATAATTAATGTTTGCTTATAATTTATACTGCGAATAATCCTCTTCTGTAATTAATTTTGATAAATATCTTTACTCTCATGATTTAAGGAATTTTATTTCTAAAATATATATCTAGAATAATTGTTGTTTTTACTAATCTTGCTTTACTGATTGAAAAATGGGTCTGAATAATCTAACTCAATAATTTTTTTTGCAAGCAAATTTTATGTGTAATTATTAAGTATAACATATTAATTTAAGTAAATTCTATGATTTTTTCAGATTTGAAAATAAAAATAGATAAATACTTTTTATTCTTGAGTTTTTCTAGAAGAATTGAATAAATATAAAATAATCAAGCTAGGGTATTGTAAAATCAATGAAATTAATTTTTTTTGAATACTTTGTAATGATTGAAAAAAATATTGTATTAAAAAAATAAATTTTATTAAAAAACAATCCTCTTTTAATGAAAAATGCAATAATTTTTTTAATACTAAAAAATAAAATTGAATTAAAATGATAAAGTTTATATATGGTAATATATAACATAGAATTAACTATCAAATAACTTTATTTGCTTATAGAGATTGTAAAATCCTGTTATCTATCTGAGTTACTTTATAATTATTTTGACATCTTTTTAAAAACTTTTCAATCTAGTGCTATTACAATTTTTCTGATTATAAAATAGCAAATTACATCTCATAATAGCTTAATTCTTTTTCTAGTGTATTAATAAAAATATTACTTACTTAAAATTTATAATTCTTAAATAATTTACTTTTTTTTTAGTTATTTGCATCAATATCTTTTAGATCCAAATCTAAGATATTCTGAGAGAAGCCAACTAGCTTTAATGCCGCTAATTAATCTTTTCTTAAAAGTAGCATGACAGCTTTCTTTAAAAATATCATATCATTAAAGAAATGCAAGATGTCTAAATCTTGGCTGATATGGTTCTCTATTTTCTTTTGCTGTTTATGATTTAGCACTTCTATTTCTTCATATTTTTATCTTCTTTTGCAAAACCTATAAATAAATAAATAAATAAATAATTGATATTAAATTTAAAACTAAATATTTATAAATTTATATTCTACCTAAATGTAAAAAGAAGTTTCTTAATTTTGTTAGAGGTATCTTTATCTTGAATGGCTTTCAATTTTTTTAAGCATTCTCTTACATCTTCATCAGGTTTTTTGGTTTAATTTATTTGGCATTAATTATATAAATTTTAATTATTCTACTTAACAGGATGTGTCTCTCTGAGATTGTAACAAATAGATTGATTAATTTAGCTTTCTCTATATATCGATTTTTACTTCGAGTTTTAATTTCTTAGAGTAAATATTGAATCTGAAAATATACTTTAGTTTTATTTATCGTCTGTTGTATATTTTTAAATAAAGGATTCTTTACTCAATTTGCATTAGTCTTCTTCTTAAGATATTTATTATTTTTAATTTATTTCAAATGTAAGATTCAATTTTTTAGAAACTAAATTTAATGAATTTTATTTCTTCAAAAGATTTTTTCTAATGTTAGCATTATTATGTGGTAATTTTTACTATACAGATTGAAATGAAGGCCTATAATAAAATATAGGTATTTATATTTATTAACTATTATCACTGTCATCTTTAATAGATGTTTCTTATACTTCATTAAGTTCATCTTCTTTTTTTGTTAGTTCTACTATTTCTTTTTTTGTTACATCTACTTCTTCTTATTTTTATTACTATTGCTATTCTTATTATTATATTGATTACTATCGAGTGCCTTTTTCAAAATTTTGCTTAAGTTGATGGTCTTACGCTTTATCAGTTTATGAAGTTTTTTAAAGACCTAACATAAGTAAGTAATTAGATTAGTATAAATTTTTCAAGAAGAGCATGATAAAATCTTTTTTGATTGAAGAGTTCGAAACAGATCTTCCTATTATACCTAATAGCATTAAAATAGTAAAAACACTGTTTACTTGTGCACAAACTTAGGGTAATGTTGGATATTAAATTCTTACTTACTACACTAATTCATCAGGATATATCATTACTTAACTATAACAAGATTAACCGATTCTTTATGAGGAATACTCTCTGTCTATGCTTTAATCTTGTTAATCATATTCAATAGGAGAAGAAAAGCTTGTTTATGATTATATAATCAATCCTGTTTTTACTTTGCTTATTTGTTTTTATGTCTTAATTCTTGAGAAGATAAACTAGTTTGCAACAGTATAAACATAAGCATTTCTATAGTTTACCTGAGCTTTTTAAGTAGTTGTGTTAAACTGAGAAGTATAAAGTTTCAATCTTACAACAGCATTTATGCCATTTATTATGTTTTCTATTTCTGTTTAACTTGCACAGTTATCAGGTATTGTGGTTTTAAAAGTGTCCAAATCTAAGCATCCATAAGTAAATATATTGATTTAGGTCTGTAAGCTGTTTTAGGCATTAAGCGAAAAGGTATAATTAGACACTTTAGAGAAATCTAAGCATTTAAACCCTTTTAGATTAGGATTTTTGCAATTAATGATATCTAATATGACACTAACCTAATTATTTTAATCTGACTAAAAAAACTAAGCAACATATACAATATAAGTCTTGTTAGTTTCATTTTATAGATTTTCTACACTAAGATTGCTATCATATTCGAATCTGAATCCAACCAAATCATTATTTAACTTCATTTCTATTAACTAGTCACTTATAAATCTTTATGACTCAAAAGTTGGGTCTAATTAATTAGTTGCATATCCATATAATATGTAGATAAGATAAGAAGCAGATGTTATTATCACAAAAAATGTGAGTATAAATCCTAAAATTGTACCTTTTTTTATTTACTAGCTACCAATATTAAAATAAAATTAAGATGAAAATAAATCAAATTTTAAACAAGGCATTATTTTTAACTTTAAGTGGTTTATTATTGAATTATTATTACTTCTACTTTTGTCTATTGCTATAAATTAAATTAATTTATTATATATTTGATAACAAAGTTAATCATTTACCCTTTTACCTTTGATGCTATTATCTATTTCTTCAATATTGATTTGTATAAAAATTAGTTAAAGGATATAATTATTTATATAAATATAATTTTCTTACTTCATATATAAGTAATTATGAGGAATTATTTATTGAAACAATTATCATTTAAAATTTACTACTTAATTTTGAATAGAAGCAATTACTTTAATAAAAAACTAAAAAATCCACTTATCTCATAATATTAATAAATAGTATTCAATGTAATTGTTTCTGTCATAAATTTAATTATTTAATCAATTTGAAAAAATTGTACTATGAAAATAAATTGTAAATTGATTATTTTATTAAATGTAAATTTATAAAAGGAGCTTTTATTTTTATGCTATATTTTATAAGAAAATTTCTTTTAAAATGACTTATTGCTATTTAAAATATCTAATTAATGATAATTTTATAAGATAGTAAATATTTCTTAATAAAATTAAATTTTATTTAAAATAAATATAAAAAAAAGGTTTTCTAACAAAATAAATGAAAATAAATTATTACAAAAGTCTATTATCTTTCACTAATTAAATAAGAATAATCACTTTGATTTTATGATATTTTTACTTACATCTTAAGATTATATACTTAGCAATGATTTGTTTAGTAGTGTTTCAGGGGGGTTATAGAAAATAAATTTTTTTTAATTAAAAAATAATTTATTGTTTTTTCTCTCAAAAAAATAAAATTATTCAATAAGTAAAGAAAAATAGTATTTAATTATTAATTTATTCAAAAACAATTTTAAAATATAAAATATTTTATAAGTTAATACAAATTATATAATTTTAAAATTTTCAAAGAATTTAGTTTGCTTTTAAAGATTATTAAATTCTTCTGTCTATCTCTGAAAGTTTTTATTTATTTTGGCATCTCTTTACAAATTTTTCGATTTAATATTATTAAAGTTTTTCAGATTTTAGAATAGCATACTGAGTCTCATAATAATTTTTGCTCATTTCTAGTTATTTTAAATTTTAATGATAATATAAAAAATCACTATTTATTTGTTTGTTTACTTTTTTATTTTGGGTCAAAATTGATGCTTTGGTTATTTTATTCTAAAAAGGAGGGAGAAAACCCAATGAGTTTTAGAGCAGCTAATTAATCTTTTCTTAAAAGTATCATGACAGCTTTCTTTAAAAAGATCATGTCATTAATAAAATTTAAGATATCAAGGTCTTAGCTAACATGATTTTCTATTTTTAATTGCTGGTCTTTATTTAATTCTTCAATTGAATCAGATTTTTGTCTTTTTTTGCAAAATCTATTTTCATAATTTACTTTTTTAAATAAAATACAAACAAATGAAGATATTGAAAATTACTTAAATCTGAAGATGTGCCTATAAAGTTTAGAGGAGATGTCTTTATCTTAAACAGCTTACAAATTTCTAACACATTGACTCTCATTCAATACTTATTATTCTTTGGTTTAGTTTATTTGGGTATGGTTTTATTTTGGTTAATCTTCTTGATCAATAATCTTAATACAAGTTGTCCCTTTTAAATTGCAACTTAAAAAGAGGTTTTATTAACTTTCTTTAATGTTTGCCTTTTACTGATAGTTGTTATTTCTAACAGAAAACACTTAGTCTAAATTAATACTTGATGCTTATTAATCTTCTATAATTTATTTTTAAATGAAAAAGTCTTAGTTGCATTTAGAGGCATCTTCTTCTTAAGATAATCTTTTTTTTTTAATTTATTAAACCAGCTAATTATTTGTTTCTATCTCTAAATTTATGTGTTACTCTTATTGTATATTACAGCTATTATCAGATTATTATTATCGACTACCCATATTTAGTGAAGGTCTATAATGAAATAAAGGAACAGATTTAGATTTTTGCTATTCGTCTTCGTTTTTTATATCTATTGATTATTCTTGATTAACTTGTTTTTAATATTTTCTTAATATTTTCATTTTCATCTCTTCATCTATTTATTACTTTTTACTTTAAAGCTATTATTATTCATTATCTAATTGCTATTACTAAATTTTACTATCTTCATATCCTTAATGCTATTTTGATTTTATTAGTCCCAGCATTGATAAATAATTAAATTAGTATAAATTTTTCAAGAATAGCATAAAAAAATCTTTCCTTATCGATCTGTTTGAAACAGCTCTGCCAATATGACCCAAAAGCATTAAAAGTGTAAAAATACTATTTACAGAAGCTGTAACTTATGGAAGTGTTGGAAATTAAATTTAAATTTGTTAAACTAACTCATCAGGATAAATCAAAACATGACTATAACAAGATAATCCCATGCTCTGAGAAGCATAATTTCTGTCTAATGCTTGATCTTACTAATCATACTATATTGGAGAAGAAAAACTCATTTGAGATTATATTAAAGAGCCTGTCTTAACAGAGGTTATTTGTTTTTAGGTTTTAATTCTTGATAAAATTAGCTAGTTAGCTACTGTATAAACGTATGAGTTTCTATAGTTCACCTAAATCTATTAAGATGTTGTATTAAATTATGATGTATAGAACTTCAATCTTAAGAGAGCATTTATTCCATTGACTATATTGTCTATTTCTGTCTAATTAGCGCAATTTTCAGGGATAGTTGTTTTAAAGCTATCCAAATCTTAGCACCCATAAGTTAATATATTAATTTATGTCTGTAAGCTATTTTAAGTATTAAGAGCAAAAGTATAATTAGATACTTTAGAAAAATCTAAACATTTATAGCCTAATAAACTAGGACTAGTGCAATCAATTATATCTAATAAGATGCTAGAATAGTTTTTTTGATCAGACTAATATAGCTAGGCTATGTAAACAATGTATGTCTTATTATTTTAAATTTAAAGATCTTCAATAGTAAGGTTACTATCGTATTCGAATCTAAACCCTATCATATCATTTTTTAACTCCATTTCTATGCTATGATCACTTATAAAACTTTGAGATCTAAAATTAGGATCTAATTAATTAGTTGAATATTGGTATAATATATAGACAAGATAAGTTGCAGAGGTAACTAGGACAAAAAAAGATAGTATCGTTCCAAAAATAGTACCTTTTTTAGCGTATTAACTCCCAATATTAAAAAAAAAAGAAGAGGAAAACAAATCAAACTTTGAGTAGGACATTTATTTTTAATTTTAATTTATTTAATTTGATATTTTGAATTTTATTACTATTTCTATCTCAATTACAAAATCGCTTTTATATAAAGTGATTAAAGTTTTCTATAATTAGTTACTTGTTACTATTACGATTTATTTGATTTTCTTTTACTGAACACATTGCCTTAAAATATGCTTGAATCAAAAATTATAAGGGCATTATAAAAAAATTTACACTATAATTTGTTTATTCTATTTGAAATTAAATGAAAAATTAAAATATTTTATTTATTATAATTACTAAATATTTTTATAATTATTTCAATGCATTTTTGTGTTTTTTTAATGTTTAATTTACAAATAATTTATAAAATGAATAAAATAGTTAGTTACTCATCGTAATTTTTTAAATGATTATGAAAACTCCATTTTTAAAAGTATTATTTTAAAAAAGACAAAAATATTGCTACATTGATTAAATAAAAATAAGCTAGTTAAATAATTATTAATATATTTCAAATTTTCAAAGAATTTAATTCGCTTTTAATGATTTTAAGATTCTGCAATCTATCTATGTCAATTTATGATTATTTTGATACCTTTTTAAAAACTCAAAGAATTTAATTCGCTTTTAATGATTGTAAGATCCTGCAATCTATCTATGTCAATTTATGATTATTTTGACACCTTTTTAAAAACTTTTCCATCTAATACTGCTATAGCTTTTCAGATTGTAAAATAGCTTATTGCATCTCATAATAACCTAATTAATTTTCTAATTTTAAAAAAAATTGATTTTTCAATTCATGAAATTGAAATAATTTACATTTCTTTTATGAGTTTGCATCTATGCTTTTAAGATCTAATTCTAAAATATTTGGAGAAAATCCAACTAGTTTTAATGCTGCTAATTAATCTTTTCTTAAAAGTATCATTATCGCTTTCTTTAAAAAGATCATATCATCAAAGAAATTTAAGATGTCAAGGTTTTGGCTGATTTGGTTCTCAATTTTTTATTACTGTTTTTGATTTAAAACATCTGCTTCTTCAGGTTTCTTTCTTTTTTTGCATAATCTTTTTTAATAATTGAAATATTTTTTATTTAACATTTTAAAATTCATTTTTGAAGAAATTTAAAAATAAATACCTAAATTTAAACATAAGCTTTTAAATTTTTTTAGAAGTATCTTTGTCTTGAATAGCTTTCAACTTTTTCAAGCATTGGATCTAATTTTAATCAAAATTTAGGCTAAGATCTTCTAAGTGTTATTTATATTAACTTTCGCTTAGATTCTTCACAAAATCAATATCTTTTAGATTATAATTTATAGATTGGTTAAATATGCTATCTCTGAATAGAGATTTTTACTAAGTATATTAGTGTTTTAAAGAAAATGCTGAGTCTGAAACTATTAAGGTTTACTTATCATCTATACTTTATTTTTAGATAAATTAATCTTTTTAACTGTTGAAGATCTTTGAAGAATCCTCTCTAATAAATGATTTTTGTTTTTAATTCTTCTTATCTTGCTTCCTACTCGTTTTTTTCTCTTAGATTATTGAATTTTATTTTTAAAACATATTATTAGAGCTGTCATTCTATTATAATTGCTATTTTTAAGATTGGAATATTGGTCTGAAATTAAATAAAGGTATTTATTTAGATTAATTTAATTCGTCACTATCTTTTATTATTGTTGCTTCTTCTTCATTGATTACATCTTAAGCTTAGCTTAGTTCTATTAATTTTTGTTATTATTAATTTACTTAGAGTGATTATTGCAATAGTTATTATTAAATATGCTATTAAGGTGGGTCATTTTACTTTTTTCTTTCGTCTTATTAAGAGGTTTTTTAAAGATGCAGCATTTACAAGTAGTTTGATTGATACAAATTTTTCAAGAAAAGCATAATAAAATCTTTCCTTATTGAATGACTGGAAACTGCCCTTCCAATTATACCTAGTAGCATTAATAGTGTAAAAATGCTGTTTACTTATGCAAAAACTTAAGGAAGAGTTGGAAATTGAATTTATATTTGCTAAACTATTTCATCTGGATATATCATGACATGACTATAACAAGATAATCCAATACTCTCTGCAGAATAAGTTCTATCTAAGCTTTAATCTGACTAATCATACTCTATAGGTGAAGTAAAGCTCATTTCAGATTACAATATTAACCCTGTTTTCACTTGGCTAATTTACTTTTTTGTCTTAACCCTTGATAGAATTGACTAGTTGGCCACAGTATACACATAAGCATTTCTATAGTTCACCTGGATTTCTTTGGAAGTAGTATTAAATTGCGTGGTAAGTAATTTTAGCCTTAATACAGCATTTATACCATTAACTAAATTGTCTATTTCTGTTTAATTTGCACAATTATCTGGAACTGATGTTTTAAAGTTGTCCAAATCTAAGCAACCATATGTAAAAATATTAATTTATGTTTACAAACTGTCTTAGGTGTTAAGAGAAAATGTGTAATTCTATACTTTAGAAAAATCTAAACATTTAAAACCTTTTAGACGAGGACTGGTGCAATCAATTATATCCAACAGAAAGCTAACCTGGTTATTTTGATCAGACTAATAAAGTTAAGCTATGTATACTATATATGTTTTATTATTTTGATTTTAGAGCGTATCTATACCAAGATTGCTATCGTATTCAAATCTGAACCCAACAAAGTCATTATTGAGTTGCATTTCAATTTATTATTCACTTATAAAACTTTATGATCTAAAAGTAGGATCTAGCTAGTTAGTTATATACTGATATAAAACGTAGATAAGATACGCAGCTGAGGTTATTAATACGATAAATGTAAGTATGGTTCCTAAAATCGTGCCTTTTTTTACTTGTTAGCTGCCAATGTTGAAAAAGAACTAAGAAGAAAACAAATCAAATTTTAAACAAGCCATAATTAATTTGCTATTTTTAATATTACTCTTAACTTTTACTTCTACTATTTTACAATTTATAGTTTTTTTCAACTTATTAGATAATTTGCAATAATTAATAAATTATCCATAAATTAATTAATCATCGATTCCAGCAATTTCCCTCCAAGATCAGAAATAATTTACATATATTAATGTAGAATGTACTTAAAAAAGTCACCCCAAAAATGTGAATTTTCTCCACCAACTTCAATTATGAATAAACACCAAAAATTTAAAAAATTAAATAAATTTCTTAATTACTCCCAAAATTAATTTCACTCTCTACATAATGTGACTTTAATATATATATAATGAATATTTACTTATATAGTTTTGTGTAAACACTAATTTTAATATAATTTGTTAATTTTCAATTCAATGAATGAGTGAATAACTTTAATTAAAGGAGATCAGTTTCAAAAATAATTATTCAAATACACTCCATCAATTAGAATAAATAAATAAATTGTTTTTTAATCACTTTATAATTACATAAAAAAAAAGTGAAATAATAAATGAAAGTTTTATATAATCTAATTGAAGTAATTTTTTTATGTGATTTTACAGAAGAAATTATTTTTTGAAACAAAAAAGCCTTTAAATTCTTCACCATCAACTAACTCACTACTTAGTCTTTTCTTTATTTTTTAAATTAATTTATAGATATTTTTCATGATTAAAATTTTTAAAAATCTAAATAAAATTTCAAAAAAATAATTTTTTGATAGCTATTATTTAGAATTATTTAAATTTAACTTAGAATGCAAATTATATTGCGTACTAATTTATATTAGCTTAATTTTTTTTTATATGATATATAAAAGTCATTATAATATTGAAGATAAATAAGTAAGTAAGTATAAAGTATGAATAATGCACTATCTTAAAGCATTTATCTTTCAAATTTAGTTCTTTATATCAATTCCAGAAAGTTAATTTTTCTTCCATTTCTATAAAGCTTACCTTTCTTTGTTGTCAGGATGAGATTTGTCTCGCTGAGTTAGCTTATGCTTTGCTAAAATTTTCTCATCTCATAAGCATCAAGCTATATCTCAAGTAAAATAATTCTCTTGATTTCTTTTATTTAAAATTTGAAAATGTTTTTTTTTTCTATTTATTTATTTATTTATTTATTTATTAAGTTACAATAATTTCTGTGTTTTTTCAGACTTTAACTTGTAAATATATTAAAATTATTTTGAATTATATTTTTGATATATTAACCTGTACTAATTTTAAAATTAAATTAGAAATAGAATAGAATAGCAATACTCGCACATAAATATGCACTCAGAATACATCTTAAATATAATATTTAAGTTTTATATAATTGATTTATTTTATTAGAAATTTTGAATCAACCAACACTAGCTCTACTACCTTTGAAACATTGAAAACTCAGAACGAACCTCTGAACCTCAAACCACAGTATATCCTAAATTTTTATAAAATTAATTTTTATAAAATTTTGGTACATATATATTCCTAAAAATCAGAACATAATAATCAGGCCCATAATTAATGAGGATTTATAGTATTGTTAAACAAAGATATTAACTTTTTTATTAAATATAAGATGAAATTTGATTAGAACTTGGTCATATTTTTTATAATAAAAATTTTAATAAAGCAAATTAAAAGGAAACTCTTTAAAAAACACTAATAAATGTTAATAAAATTTAATTCCTTTCTAATTTTTAGAATTGAAATCTTTTAACGTATTTTTAATTTTATAATTCCTAAAAAAAAATAGACAGATCAATAAATAAAATTTTTAAATAAATTTTTACATAATAAAAAAAAATTTCTGAATAGATAATCTTAATTTAACATGCTAATAATAAACTATAAAATTTTTAAAAATATAATAATAAAGATAATAATTAAATTAATTAATTAAAAGCTTCAAAAACTTCTAATTTTTACAAAATTTTCATTAAAATTATTAATATTCATTTTGTCTTTGTGATTCAAAAAATAATTAATTATCATCCATAATTTAAAATATAAAAATAATAATTAAAAAATATGACAGTGAAATGTGTAAGATACATTTAAATATCTACATTAAATACATTTACTTAATTAAATTCATATAATTTTGCTAAATAAATCAATAAACTAAGATTTTATGAACTAATCTCTTTATTTTGTAAATTTTTTATTCAAATTTCTCTGATTTATCCATGAAAATCCATCTATTTTAAAAAAATATGAATTTAAATTCCAAAATATATTAATTTTTATTAATATTTTTCATTTATTTTTCTTATTTCATAATTGAAATACTAAAATGAAGAGATTTGTTTAATTTTGAATGAAATATATTAATTTTTTTGTTTAATAATATTAATTTTTTTGTTTAATAATATTAATTTAATTTAGTTTAAAATTTAAAATTTTGTTTAAATGAATAAATAAATTCGTTTTTACGTTAGAAAGAGTACTAACGTTGTAAGATTAGGACACACTTTTAAAGAAGAGCATAAATTCGATACACCTTATGTTCCTATTGGATTTCCACTTTTGAAATACAAGAGATAAATTTATTAATTGTGAATTAAATGAAATTATTTTATATTGAATATAAAAATCTATTGTACATAAAATATAATATTTAGTTATATTTACTTTAAATAAAGCATCAAAATAGAAAGATTTTTGCAATATGTTAATGATAATCCTAAATCTAATGCTCCTTATGTCCCAATATAATTACAACTTTTATTAAGTATAAATAAATAAATATACTTAAATTCCTCAATAAATATGACACGAAGATATTAATAACACAATTTTCTGAAGAAAAATAAAACTAAAAATTTTAAGGTTTGAAGTAGGGGTTGATTGATCATTACTATTGAAGAACAATAGTATTTCTTATTTCAAATAAGGAAAGTAAAAATTAGTATATTTAAAATAAGTATTTATTAAGATATTCAAAATTATTATGAGAAAATTTTAATATTAAATAAATTAAACAAAAATCCAATAATAATTTTTACATAAGATCAAGTGTCAAAGTTTGTATATTTATACATTTATTTAATGCAAAAGCTAAACTTGAAGCTCCTTCATCGCTTATTTAATTACCACTTTTAATAAAATATTAAATATATAAATTAAGTATATTTAGATAATTATTTTTACTAAATCATTAAATTTAAATTTTAAAGATTTTTGCAATTTTTTATTAAGGCAGAACTTAATATTTTAGCACCATCTTTTCCAATTTAATGTTCACTAATAAATTATTTAACATAATTAATTTTGTAAATATTCAAAAAAACATTTAAAAAAGATAAATAAATTAATATGAAAACTAATTTTAAAAATTAAAACAAGAAAGGATTAAAAATATAGATGGATATAATATTTCTATCTATATTTTTATTGATAAAATAATTTGGGATAAAAAATAAATTTTAGAAAAATAAAGAAAATTTTATTTGATATCAAGCTTTAATTAAAGAGATGTGTTTTAAGCAGTTTGCTAAAATAGAGCATAATTATTTTGAAACAATTTGTGCTACAATTTCGTTATTATTTTTAATTTATCATTTAAATATTTTATTTTAAATTAAAATTAGTAATAATCATTTTTAAATTTAGAAAAGCAAAAACTTGTCAAATTTAAATATCCCAATAATCTTTTGGTTTATCAATATTAAACAAAACTGAAATAATTTAATGCTTATGATAATTAAATTTATTATACCTTAGGTCTAATTCTAGATCTGTGCAACAAGAAATAGAGGAGCTTAAAAACTTTTTTTATGATAAAGTTAATTAATAGCATTATTAAGTTTAAAAAAAATCTATTACATCCTCTAAATTATCAAAGTGTTATTTCTTCTCTTACATATTTTTTTAAAAAATAATTTACGAATTTTAATTTTATTAAATAAAAAATTAATATCTAAAAGAATGATTAATTTAAATTAGAAAAAAATTATCAATATAAAAAAAAGAAACTAAACAAAATATAAATGAAAAAGTAACAATAAAAAAATATATCACCAAAATAATATTTTAAATTAGAAAAAGTAAAAAAAGAATTTGATTTAACTCCTCGTTAATTAAGATTCAATTATATTATTAGCTAAAAAATATTAGAAGTAAAAAAAAATTAAATTAAGATAAAATTTTTAATAAAAAAAATTAGAATTTTCATCAAAAAACAAGTTAAATCTTTGATTAAACATTTTTACTTATTTTTTCTTCTAGCATGTTCAATACTTGCTTCAAAACCATTTTTATTTCTTTTAAATTTTTTTATTTATTTTAAATAATATTATTTGTTTTACTAAATATTGGAACAGGCAACTTTTTATTAAATGATTATATATCACTCTTAAAATTTCTATATTTTTTGAATTAGTATATTTCGGTGAAAATAAATAAATAAATATAAATGATAATTTCTATATTTATACTAAATTGTAACTCTTCTTTACAAGAATAGTTTGATTTTTTAATAATTTGAGTATATAAAGAAGGACATACAATCTGCTAAATTTCATTTATTAAATATATTAATTCTTATTTAAATTACCTTTAACTTTTATAAAATTAAAAGAAAGAAAGATATTTAATGTGATGTGATGTATTATTATAAACGAGGATACATTAAAATTGAAACTAATTAAATGACACAAGTAAATTAAAACAAAATCATTATTAAAATTAGAATTTTTTATTATCAAATTGATTATTAAATTTTTAATGATTATAAAATTCTGTTATCTATTTGAGTTAGATTTTTATTATTAGAGCATCTCTTTAAAAATTTTTGTATTTAATATTCTTGTAGCTTCTCAGATGATAAAATAGCATGCTACATTTCATAATAACTAAAATATGTTTCTTATTTTATATTTTAAATATATTTAAAATAAATATAATAGTAATGAATATAAATATTTTACTTATCTTGTCTAAATTAGGCCCTAAACTTTTTAAATCCAATTCTAAAATTTGTGTAGAAAGCCCAATATGCTTGATTGCTGCTAGTTAATCTTTTTTTAATAGGATCATTACGGCTTTCTTAATAAAAATAATGTCTTTTAAGATACTTAAAATATCTAAATCTTAGTTAATATGATTTTATATTTTTTCTTTCTGTATTTTACTTAGCTTGTGGATTTATTCAATTTTTTGCCTTTTTTTGCAAATTCTTTTAATAAATTAGTAAAATTTAAAGCATTAAATATGAAGAAAATAAATACCTCAACTTCTGAAGATATTAATAAATAATCTTCCATTTTTTACTTTTATCTTGAATTTCTTTGAGCTTTCCTTCAGTTTTATTATTGTGATTTTTATTGATTTAGTTCATAAAATCTTATGTTTAGTTTTCTTTATATTTTTTGTTCTTATTATTTGCATTCACTTCAATTGAATTAAAACTCATAGATACGTTAAGAAATTTATCTTTATATATATTTTTTTGATATGAAGTTTAATTTTAAGAATAAAAACGAGAATCTGTTATTATGCTTGTGGTTTACTTATCATCAAAACTTGATTTTTAAAAAAAAGTATCAAAATTAATTTTTGAAGCTTCATCTTAAATGGTATTCGATTCCATTTTCTTTAATATAATTGATTATTTTGTTTTTCTTAAAATAATATCTTTAGGATTTTATAGTGATTGTTTATTATTGTTAAAACTACTTTTGTCATGCTTTTACTTTTTCATGTTAAATGTTGGATTATACTAAAATATTGGTATTTTTTGACATTGGCTATTTTTTTCTTCATCTTTTATTTCATCTTCGCTTAAATTTACATTTTCAAAATTCAATTTTTCTGATTCTATTTTTTTTTTATTGTTTTGTTTCGTTAGCTCGTAATGCTTCTAATTTTTCTTTTATGCTTCTTGAAATAAATTGTCTTGTAAAATCTGAGTCTATTCAGATTTTGAAGCATCTTTAAATTGTTAAATTTGTGGAAAGTTTGTTTTGTATAGATTTTTCAAGAAAAGTTTGAAGAATTCTTTCTTAATTGAAGAATTTGAGGCAGCTCTACCAAATATACCTAATAACATTAAGAGTGTAAAAATACTATTTACTTATGCAAACACTTAGGGAATAGTGGGAAATTATATTTATATTTACTAAACTAACTCATCTGGAAAAATCATTACACGACTATAACAAGAAACTCCGATGCTTTATGCAGCATATTACCTGTCTAGAGTTTAGTCTTGTTGCTCATATTATATAGGAGAAGAAAAGCTATTTTATGATTGTATTATATATCCTGTTTTGACTGAAGTTATTTGTTTTTATGTCTTAATCCTTGATAAAATTGACTAGTTAGCTACTGTGTAAACGTAGGAGTTTCTGTAGTTGACTTGTACTTCTTTTGAAGTAGTATTAAACTGGGATGTATAAAGCTTCAATCTTATAACAGCATTAATTCCATTTACAATGTTATTTATTTCTGTATAGTTAGCACAATTATTAGGTATTGAGGTCTTAAAGGTGTCTAAATCTTAGCAAGCATAAGTCATAATGTTAATGTAGGTCAACAAGCTGTTTTCAGAATTAAGAGAAAAAGTATAATTAGCAACTTTAGAGAAGTCAAGACATTTAAAGCCAATAAGTCCTGGATTAGTGCAATCAATAATATCTAATAAAAAACTGGCTGTACTGTTTTTATCAGACTGATAAAACTAGGCTACATAAACAATATATGTCTTATTGTTTAAAACTTGTAGCTATTCTATGCTTAGATTACTATCGTATTCGAATCGGAACCCAATCAAGTTGTTATTAAGCTCCATTTCTATTTTTTTATCACTTATAAAGCTTTGTGATCGAAATGTTGGATCTAGTTAATTTGTAGCATATTGGTATAAAATGTATACCAAATAAATACATGAAGCAAATAAAACAATCAGAGAAAGAATAGTTCCTAAAATTGTGCTTTTTTTCTTATGCTGGCTTCCGATATTGAAAAAAAATGTTGATGAAAATAAATCAAATTTTGAATAAGGCATTCTTATGTATGTATTATTTAAATGATTAATAACTACTTCTACTAATTTTTAAGTTCTTATATTTCTTTGTATTAATTAATTTAATGGTTGAGATGAGATAGTTGATTATTTTTGCAATTAATTTTAATTAATTAAAGAGTGGATGAAAACAATTACTTATTAAAATTACATTAATAGAAAATAATAAATTGTATTCTTTATTTTTTGCCATTTAATGACTATTTTCTTAATACATATAAAATGTTTAAAAGAAAATAGTCCAAAAAAATATAAGTGTCAATCTTGTTGATAAAAAATAAATTAAAGTCCTAATTTTAGCTTTTTGATTCTATTCATTTAATTAAAAGGAGAAAACTTTATAGTTTTATAATGATTTAATTGTTTATTTATTATATTTTATCAGAATATTTTTATTAATTTAAATTCATAAAATTTTTTTATTTAATAAAATATTTATTTAAAAACTTTAAGCAATATAAATATTATTTCTTAGGGCTATTAATATAAATACAAGGAATTTAAAAATTTTCATGCTTATTTGTTTTTGGTTGATAGATAATTTTTTTTCTTTAAATAAGTATTAATCGAATTGTTATGATATATAAATCTAATGATTTGTAGAACTCAATTCAGCCTTAATTTTATTTTCATTAAAAATAAAGAAAACTGTTATTTTTAATTAATTTTTTAGTAACGAAGTAATTTAAAATTAAAATACAAGTAAAAGAAATGGGTTTATAATAAAAAAAATAATTTTTAAATTTAGAAGATGTAATTGATGATTTTTTATTTAGATTTTCTATATTCATTTATTTTCATTAATAAAAAGTTTGTAAATTCTCAGCTATCATCTCACACTAATCTTGAAGTAAATCTGATGTAAAAAAATAATCTTTAATATTTACTATTAACAATTTTAATTAATAAATAATTAGATAATCAAATTTTTTAAATAATTCTTATATTTACTCAAATCTAAAATTTAAATTTATTTCAATTTTGTTTGCTTTGATTTAGCTTTTATTAATTTTATTTCATACTATACTCTTTTTTCTCAAAAAAATAAAAAGTATCAATTAAATTGATGAATAGAATGTATAAGTTTTAGCATCTGCTTTAGCGAAATGTGTCAATCTCTCAATTTTGACACTTGAACTTGGGTAAACTTTTTACCAATATTTAATACTTTTATTTTGTTAAATATAAAGAAAAAATAGATTTATTTTTTTTATGTAGTTGATTATTTTTCCTCTTTGCTATCTTATGTATTTGTGATTATTAGCTTGCTATTTTTTCTTATTTTTTTAACTTTTACTTTGTTGATAATTTTAAATAACTGTTATCTCTATTTTAATAGTTATTTAATTTTTAAACTGATTAATTTATCTAAAATATAAAAAAAAAGATAAAATTAAATCGGAGACTAGGGATTAAAATACTTAGGATCTGCTCTATCAAAGTGTTCTAATCTATCAATTTTGACACTCTAACTTTAGTAAATAATAACCTAGTTTAATTTACATTTTAAATATTTTATTTCATTTTGATTATCAAATTTTTATTTTGTTCAATTTGTTTTTATTTTTTTAAATTATATACTTGTATTTTTAAATTAAAATTTATTTTTAAAATAATTAATTTTCATTTAAATAAATAAAGTAGAAACTTAATTGGTGGATAAAGTGTTTTGGATTTAGGCTCTGCTTTAATATAGTGCACTTCTCTTTCAGCTTTTACTCTTAACCTTTGGTAAAATTTTATTTAAATCTTATTTTTTATTTATTTTATTAAATAATAAGTTGGATATTATGAAAAATCTTTATATTAAAATTTTTTTAGATTCTAAATTAAAATTAATTTTTCTTTCTTTCTCATTCATTACTTCATTGTTGAAATATTTTCAATTTCTTATGAATTATTTCAAATTTTTTTGATTACTATGAAAACATAAAGCTAATAAACTACTAATCAAATATAAAAAGGCAGAATTCAATATGTGACTAAGGAGCATCAAATTTAGGCTCTGCTCTATAAAAGTATGAAAATCTTTCAACTTTAATACTTAATTTAGGGTAAAATAAAATTTTTATTTATTATTAAACAAAAAAAAAAGGACAGATATAATTTTTAATATTATTAGTTTCTAATAATATATAATGTCATTTCTCATTAATTAACATCATCACCTTCCTCAAAATAAACAGCTAATTTTTGTGTTATTAATTTTTCTTAAAAATAAAAAAGTAGCAATTCAATCGGCTAATAAGGAGCATTCAACTTAGGTAAAGCTATAGCGAAATGTACTAATCTCAAATCTTTGACATTGTGGCTCTTGTAAAATAGTTTATTAATTTCTTTGCTTTTATCAATATTTTGTGTTATTTATTTAGATATATATATTTTTCAAAATATAAAGTAGCAATTAAATTGGCTCTTAGGGTGCATTAGAATTAGGCTCTTCTCTAACAAAGTGCTTTAATCTTTCAATTCTAACTCTTGACCTTAGGTATAATTTATTCAAAATTTTATTTTATTTATTTCAGTCATCAAAAACTTAGAAATTAAATCTATCTAAAATTAAAAGCTTATATTTGCTTTATTGTACTTAATTTTTTAAGACTTGTTAATAAGATATTAAATAAAATACTTTTATTTTTATAAGTTTAATTTTTTATCTTATTTTTGAGCTTGTATTGTAATAAATATTATTATTGCAAATAAACTAATTTATTGAAAAAATTAAAGTAACAATTAAATTGGCAACTAAGGTGCGTCAGATTTAGGCTTTGCTATTTCAAAATATTCTAATCTCACATAATTTACTCTAAACCTTGTGTAAAAATGCTTTTTAATTTTTTAATCAAAAATAAATGAAAATATTTACTTTATTGGTTCTTCAATCACTTTTTTGCTTTTTAGAAGTTAACTTTTAAATTAAAAATTTAATTTTTGACTTCTTCTCACTAAAAATTATCTTTTTAACAAACAAATTATCTTAAAATTATAAAAAGATAAAATTCTATTGGTGACTAAGGGGCATCGGACTTAGGTTAAGCTGTATAAAAAATCTCTAATATATCAACCTTTTCCCTCAACCTTAGGTAAAATTTTATTGACTTTAGTTTTATAGTTTTTTCTTAAAGGATAGAGTTAAATTGATAGATAGGTAGAGTCTTTTCATTAATTATATTTTTTGATTTTTCACCTCTTATTTAATTTACTCTATAATTTTTTTTTTAAAATATTTTTTTATTCTTTTGCTTTAAATTCATTTTAAAAATTTCCATAATAATAAATAATTTTCTTACTATTCTTAGTAATAACTCAATTGATGCAAAAGGCGCATAAGATTTAGGTTTTGCCTTATCAAAGTGCCCTAGACTTTCTTCTTTGACACTTAGCCTTTCGTAAAAATAATTTTTAAATTTTCTTATTTTAATTAATTGTTAGTAATTTCGCTAAATAAACATTAAAAAAACAAATAAAAATAATTTTAATATTTTTAATATTTATTCATTTTTAATTCTTGATTATTTTATTTGTTAAAGTCTATTTATTTTTTATTTATTAACACTTTTATTTCTTCAATTTAAAATTAATTATTAAACATATCTTTATTATTTTGAGTTTGAAAATAATTTTCAAGGAAAGAAAAAATTTTTAAATTATAAATAGATAAAATTAAATTGGTGACTTGGGTGCCTCAAATTTAGGTTCCGTCTTATCTTAGTATTCCAATCTGTCTTCTTTAAATCTTATCTTATCGTACTTCTATTAAGTCTATTTAATGAATACTTTAAATTTATTTACTATGAATTAAAAAACATTTCTAATTTCTTTCTATATTGTTTACTAAATTTATTTAAACAAACTTTACATTTTTATATTTATATCCATTCTGATTATTATATATTTTCTTTTAAATTCTATATCAAGACTTTGATTTTATACTTTATATTTTTCCATTTTAAAGAAAAACAATTTTTTTAAATATCAAAAAGTAGCAATTAAATTGGTGCTCTGGGTGCATCCGAATTAGGATATGCTTTATCAAAGTGCTCTAGTCTCTCTGTTTTAAAACTTGACTTTTGGTAAATTATGTTTATTTGTTTTTATTGATAATATTGTTATTTATTAGGTTGTATAATATTAATAAAATAGATATTCTACTTTTTACATGATTACTTTCCTTTTTTTTATTTTAAATTTATTTTATTATCATATTTCATGCACACATATAAATTATGATTTTTTTGTGATAAAATTAAAATTTTTCAACTATTAACAGGGACAATCATTTCTTGATAAAAAATTTAAGGATTAAAGTTCTTAAAACAAAGAGATTAGTGAAGATGCAAATTGAATAAGATTGAATAATAATTAATTTTATAAATGGTTTTTATTTTTATTATTTAAAAATAAAACTTTCTGTTGAATGATTTATGATCTTTTATAACACACACAAATAACTTTATTTTTTATTAAAATAAATTATTACTCATTCATTATTCATTAATAAATTATTGTATTTATGGAAATAAATATTTAATTTAATTTTTCACGTTAATTTTTAATCTATTTACTCTTTCATTGAATAAAATACTATTTTTAATAAAATGGAAAATGAAACCTAATATGTTTTTTTATTTTTAATAAGCTCATTTTGATAATTTTAAAGTTAAATTTACAAAAATTTTTAATTTCATTATTTAAAGTTAAATTTATTTGTTAAAAATAAACTCTTTAATTTTTTAAATGAAGATAAAAAAATCTTTTAACATCATCAGTATTTTATTGTATTTTTCAATATCATTGCTTAGAGATCCAATAGAATATGCTAGAATTTTCAAAAATAGAACTTTTTTAAATATCTTGCAACTCAAAAAGCTAAGGTCAACAAAATAATATAAAAATATATTTAATAACAGATTATTAAAAAAAATATAAAACAAAAAAATTGAACTAAAGGTAAAATAAAAATTAATTAAATTTTGCTATTTTATTTGATTTATGAGAAGATAATTTAATGTTTTAAAAGTAAATATTTTGATAAAATATTAGAAAATTAACTTTGCCTATTATATTTTTAATAAAGATGATTAATCTTTTAATTTCTTTTGACCAGATTTATATTTGGTCAATTTTAAAAATTCTTGTTTTCTTTTTTATTTAGTTTTGATAAATTAATAATAATATTTTATGATACGATAAAGTGAATTTGCTTGATATAAATTAATTAACATTTAAATTATTATGTATGAAAAAGAATAAATTTGATTTGAAGATTTTGGGGAAAGTCACAAACTATTTTTAGTTTAATTATTATTTTTAATTAAATTAACTAATAATTTTTATACTTTTTTAATTAAAAAATTTTTATAATTTAATTAAGAAAAAAACAAAGAAATTAATTGAAAGAAAAGAAAGGAATAAAAAAGGTAAATAAAAAAGATTTCGTTATAAAATATATTATTTAAATTAAAAAAAAAATTTTTTATTCTTATTCGTTAAACATTATAATTATTTTATATATTAGCAATTGTTACTAATCATGCAATAATAACAAGACACTGAGCTTAAATATTAGGCACCTGAAGAAAAATTTAAAAAAATTTTTGAGGACTATAAAAAGAAACATGAAGAGAATATGATATTTGATACAGATGAACTAACATCGATTTACAATGAGCTTCAAAAGAAGAAGATATACTTAACATCTTACATTTCACAAGGCGGTAATGGATGTGTTTTTGAGGCTAAGTATAATGAAGAAATAGTTGCTGTCAAATGTAGCAAACCTAAATTCTAAAAAATCAAAGAAGAAGAAAAAATAATGAAATTTTTAAAGGATACTCCTTATGTCTTTAAATCTATCGAAGAGTTTTTAAATGAAAAAAAAACAAAATACTATCAGATTTCTAAAAAATATTAATGTAAAAATTCATATTTTTTTCCTTTTTAGTTTCTAAATATATTCAAATTTTTAGGATAAAAAAATTACTTTATTCTTTTTAATAAATATTCATTCTTTTTATAAATATAAGTTTGTGGTTTAATGATTAATATACAAAATAATAGTTAGAGTTTTTAAATATATATATTTCTTAATAAATAAATATTTCAAATATATAAAATTTGTTTTTAATCTTATTGAGTTAAATTTTATACTATTTATAAGTTTATTATAGCCTAAATTCTTATTTTAAATCTTCAAGGTGATTACGGAGAGTCTAAATTATTTAAAGAAGGATCAAAAACTTACAATGTAATTAATTAATTAATTTATTTATTTTTAAAATTTAATTACTACTTCAATTAGTTTTAGCACTATTCGTTTTTAGAATTTCAACACTTGCTTTTAAAGCATTTAATTTATTCAAAATTATTAAAGGTTTTCCATTTTTCTAAAATACAAAAAATTTTGTTTACTCTTTTTTTATTTGAAGCTATTTCTATAAATTTATTTGTATTTTTTTACATTCTTAACATTTAAAAGCTCAAAGGATTTACAAGAAAGTATGCAGCTCCTGAAATAACAGATGATAACGGTTTCTTCAAAATCTAAGTAAATTTATTAAAGGATTCTATTATTTATTTACTTATTTTTAATTTAATTTTTATTTATAGTATGATATTTATGGCTTAGGAATTATTCTTCTTGAATTAACCCTTGGAAAGTTTCTTGAAGATGGAGATTGTACTTTTATCAGAAAAGGAAAATTACCTAACTATCTAAGCAAAAACGCTTTATATTAAGATATTAACTAAATTATTATTAAAATGCTTGAAATTTTGCCTAATAATAGAATCGATTCTTTAGGACTAACTAAGCAATTAAATGAAGTAAGACTAAAATTAGAAAGTTAGTTCATTTATGCGGTAAAGGACAAATTGGATTTTACTGAATCTAATTTGATGATTTCAAAATTCAGACAATCTTTTCTTAAATTTAACTACACAAGCAAACAAAATGAAGTCAGATTAGATGAGTACAAATTTAGAGGTTACAGTAATCTCTCTAAATTCGAGGAATTCAAGGAATGTATTGCAAAAAGGTTAGTTCATCACTTAGATCTTGATTTCAGGTATACATTTTATAATTGAATAATTTTAAATAGATAAACAAATTTCATTTTATTTATTTTTAAAATAAATAATTGAAATGACATCAAACATTGATATATGATTTAAGAAATTGATATTTTCTCCCCAAAATAAATCTAAATTATTTTTTAATTTTTTAAGTATCTAAACAAAAATTTGTAATTTTTCCATAATTTAAAATAAATTATTAAATGCAAATAAATTTTAATCCATAATGAAATCTACTTATTTTCATTGAAATTAAGTTATAGTTTATCAGAATTAGTATAAAGTTAAATATTTTAAAAACCATTTATTTTAGACATCTTTATTGATTCATTCATAACTTTCAGATTTAAAGTTATTAAAAATTTTAATTGCTTAACAAAATTAAATGAAAGATAGAATTAATTAATATAAATTCAAAACGAGATATAAAAATTCAATAATTAAATTAAATTAAATTGAAGTTAAATACTTAAAAATTTTATTTATTTATTTATTGTAGAGTTTATTTACTTCTCTAAATATCTCCCATTTCATTTTTTAGGTCTTAATTTTTTACTATTAAAATAAATTAAAAAAGTTATTATTCTCTTTTTTAGGCTTTGATAAAATTTATACAGTATTTATATTTTAGGATTTTTTATTTTATTTTATAAATTCTTATTTTATTAACCATAATTTTATTTGCTTGTAAATTGAAATGATATCAAAATAATCAAAATAAATACAACTTTTTAAAATCTTTAGCAAAATCATTCATTATTAACCCATTTATTAATTACTTTTCTATTTTATTTTCATTATTTTCAACACATTCATTATTTATTATTTTCATAGGGAGAATTACCTTGGTGCAGATGGAGCTAAGAACATTGGAATGAGCTTGGAGAAGTGCCAAAATATAACATCTTTGAATCTCAATCTATCGTAATTTAACTAACTATCAATTTATTTAGTTTGTTTTAATTGATTCATTTGTGAAATTGAAACTTAAAACAAATGGGTTTGGAGAATTAATTGATTGATTGATTGATTGATTCACAGCTCATAAATTGATTTTTGATTTTTTTTTTGTTTAATTTTTGTGCATCTAAATTTATTTGTTTACGAATTCAAACAAATATTCCAAATAAATTGCATCAAAATAAATACCACTTTTTAACATCTTTAGCAAAATCATTCATTATTAATTCCTTTTCTATTTTATTTTCATTATTTTCAACACATTCATTATTTATTATTTTCATAGGAGTAATGAGCTTGGTGCAGATGGAGCTAAGAACATTGGAATGAGCTTGGAGAAGTGCCAAAATATAACATCTTTGAATCTCGATCTATGGTAATTTAACTAACTATCAATTTATTTAGTTTGTTTTAATTAATACATTTGTGAAATTGAAACTTAAAACAAATGGGTTTGGAGAATTAATTGATTGATTGATTCACAGCTCATAAATTGTTTTTTGATTTTTTTTTTTGTTTAATTTTTGTGCATCTAAATTTATTTGTTTACGAATTCAAACAAATATTCCAAATAAATTGCATCAAAATAAATACCACTTTTTAACATCTTTAGCAAAATCATTCATTATTAATTCCTTTTCTATTTTATTTTCATTATTTTCAACACATTCATTATTTATTATTTTCATAGGAATAACAAGCTTGGTGCAGATGGAGCTAAGAACATTGGAATGAGCTTGGAGAAGTGCCAAAATATAACATCTTTGAGTCTCAATCTAGGGTAATTTAACTAACTATCAATTTATTTAGTTTGTTTTAATTGATTCATTTGTGAAATTGAAACTTAAAACAAATGGGTTTGGAGAATTAATTGATTGATTGATTGATTGATTCACAGCTCATAAATTGTTTTTTGATTTTTTTTTTGTTTAATTTTTGTGCATCTAAATTTATTTGTTTAGGAATTGAAACAAATATTCCAAATAAATTGCATCAAAATAAATACCACTTTTTAACATCTTTAGCAAAATCATTCATTATTAATTCCTTTTCTATTTTATTTTGATTATTTTCAACACATTCATTATTTATTATTTTCATAGGGAGAATAACCTTGGTGCAGATGGAGCTAAGAACATTGGAATGAGCTTGGAGAAGTGCCAAAATATAACATCTTTGAATCTCAATCTAGAGTAATTTAACTAACTATCAATTTATTTAGTTTGTTTTAATTAATTCATTTGTGAAATTGAAACTTAAAACAAATGGGTTTGGAGAATTAATTGATTGATTGATTCACAGCTCATAAATTGTTTTTTGATTTTTTTTTTGTTTAATTTTTGTGCATCTAAATTTATTTGTTTAGGAATTGAAACAAATATTCCAAATAAATTGCATCAAAATAAATACCACTTTTTAACATCTTTAGCAAAATCATTCATTATTAATTCCTTTTCTATTTTATTTTGATTATTTTCAACACATTCATTATTTATTATTTTCATAGGGAGAATAACCTTGGTGCAGATGGAGCTAAGAACATTGGAATGAGCTTGGAGAAGTGCCAAAATATAACATCTTTGAGTCTCAATCTATCGTAATTTAACTAACTATCAATTTATTTAGTTTGTTTTAATTGATTCATTTGTGAAATTGAAACTTAAAACAAATGGGTTTGGAGAATTAATTGATTGATTGATTGATTCACAGCTCATAAATTGTTTTTTGATTTTTTTTTTGTTTAATTTTTGTGCATCTAAATTTATTTGTTTAGGAATCGAAACAAATATTCCAAATAAATTGCATCAAAATAAATACCACTTTTTAACATCTTTAGCAAAATCATTCATTATTAATTCCTTTTCTATTTTATTTTGATTATTTTCAACACATTCATTATTTATTATTTTCATAGGAGTAATGAGCTTGGTGCAGATGGAGCTAAGAACATTGGAATGAGCTTGGAGAAGTGCCAAAATATAACATCTTTGAATCTCTATCTATGGTAATTTAACTAACTATCAATTTATTTAGTTTGTTTTAATTAATACATTTGTGAAATTGAAACTTAAAACAAATGGGTTTGGAGAATTAATTGATTGATTGATTCACAGCTCATAAATTGTTTTTTGATTTTTTTTTTGTTTAATTTTTGTGCATCTAAATTTATTTGTTTAGGAATCGAAACAAATATTCCAAATAAATTGCATCAAAATAAATACCACTTTTTAAC